AAATTATCTCCCTTGAAAAATGTTACCTTGTTCAGTATCTGGTCTTAGTTTAACATTGGATGCCTGAGTTTCAACATAAAATCTGCTTATTCAGTCCAGTGATTAGGACGACCGTCAGAATACAAACTCGAGTACAGTAGAGAGAGACTCAAACAACAAAAAAAGCCGTGTATGTTGGTCTTCTGGGTTTTGACACCGTGTGAACCCTTACGTTGATACCAACGTTTATTTGGAACTTACTACTGATTACTACAGCCATGAAGTTGGAGGGAGTATGTTTCTCCTAAACGTTGATATCTGACTTTGGCAATGTGGAGGATCGCTGTGGGGGAACATGTGGACCTTGTTAAATGTATAACTCTACATCGTATTTATCTCTGCTTTCCCATCTAATCAATTGCTTCGTTGTTACAATCAATAATCTATAATATTTTTCTCTTCTTTCATCTGCACGGAACATCGGCACATCGGACTTTACTCCACTACTTCTTATTTACACTTGTAATTCACGTGATTTCTCATCTCCCTAGCTTCACTGTAAATGGTTTTACCCTTCTTTCGACTGTTGGCAATTCGTAAAGTTTTCAGTTTATACCACAAACAAATAACTCCCTAACTAACTTAATCCCTGGTAGCAGAAACCGCAGGTCCAAAAACTACAAAACCAAAGCTCGCCACCGGCCTTGATCCTCAGCCAACTCCATCCATTTACCATCCTCACAGCCCACCTCCCTATGATCCATCTTGATATTATCCTCCCATCTCCTTCTTGGTCTGCCAACTGGTCATTCTCTAGAACGATATCCCACCGACATTCTGTATGCACCTATTGCAACCTCACCCCCCCCCCAATGCGTGCTATATGTCCAGCCCATCTAAGCCGCCTATATTTCACTATTCTCACGATGCTAGGTGACCTGTACAATTCACGCAGCTCCTGGTTATGCAGTATTCTAAATTCCCCACTTGCTTCATCCTTACTAGGTCCAAATATCTTCCTGAGCACCTTGCTTTCAAACACTCGTAATTTGCGTTCATCCTTCAAGGTAAGATACTATGTTTCACAACCATACAAGAGAATCGGCAAAATTATTGTTTTATATATCCTGATCTTTAGTGTTTTGGATTAAAAACGAGATAACAGTTTTTAAATTGAAAAGCAAGTGTTTCCCGAATGTATTCTACTTTTAATTTCATCATGGACCTATTTCTACTTGTTATTGTTCTTCCCAGATACTTAAATTTTTAAACATTTTCAAATGATGTGTTACTTATAATTTTGTTCCGCTGTTGTTTCTGATGTTCATCTCGTATTACGTCCATGTATTTAGTTTTGTCTAATTTACTTCTATGCCTATTTCCTTGCCCTCCTGTAGGAGAGTTTCTGCATTCTTGGTTATTGGTGCCCACACCATCCCTGAGCAGACTGACGTCATCAGCATAGGCAAGTGCGTGGTGCAGACCATTCAATCCAAGCCCTTCCTGATGGCATGTTCTCGAGAAAAATTAAAGAGCACTGGGGATAAAGCATCGCCCTGTTTTAGGTAATTTTGCATTGGGAACGGATCCGACCACAAACAAATACAAAACAGAAATATTACATTAAGTAAAATTAACTTTCGCACAGTACTTGCTAGTCTCTGCGTCCAGACCGGCTCTGGAGCCCACCCAGCCTCCTATCCAGTGGGTACCGACGTCCTTTCCCGGGGATAAAGCGCGGCCGAGGCGTGACACTGACCACTCACTCCTATCTAGTGCCGAAGTTAATAATGAGTTGGATCTATACTCCTGTCCCCCATCCTTACCTTACTTTGCTGTACTTTACTTTCAGAGAACTCGACTGGACAACTGGAGTACATCGCTTTCTAGTCAAAAATTTAACACCTTCGAATTCGTCATGTGCTCCAATTTATTTACATCCTATTTTTCTTCTTCTCATCTTTGTTTTGTTTTTTATTATTCATTATTTCTTTCCCATGTTTATTATTTTCGTCTTTCTCTCTTCCATCCTCTTCGTAATCCTTTTCCTTACATCTTATTCTTTTTCTCATCTCTTTCCTCCATATCTTCTGTCCTTTTCCTTCGTCTTTTTATGTTTCCTCTTTTCCCATCTTCCTGTTAACTTCCTTCTTCAGAGTCTGTAGCCTTCAGGTACATTTGGTCCATGAACGAATCTGGTGGCCTATTTTATGCGGCCTACGGCTTCATCGGAATTATGTATTGTTAGTGCCCATTAGCTTACGAGTTATTTGCCTAAAGTATATAAAGTTAAAATACGATGGGGGGGGGGGGGAGCCTGTCCTCTTGTTTCATCTCTTAAACTAATCTTATTTTATGGAAAGTCTAAAATTTACTCAACGTCGTTAAATAACCTAAGAATTTATTTGTACTCCCTCCATAGGCCTGTTCTTACCTGTGGCAATTAGTTAATAATGGTCTCTTTCAAATTCTGTTTTGCGCTATAGGCTATTACTTCTGCAGTTTAAGCAGTGTTATAAAATAACGTAAGATCGATTAATCGAAACATTCATCCTCCTTACACAGTTCTCTTCTCAAGAAGCCAGCCCACTCGACGATTTGCCCTTTGCAATTAATGTCGATAGTATCGAAACGCCCTATTTTGTTTCCAGACGATGTCCCATATGAACAGACCGTTCAAACAAGTTTGTTAAACTATCCAAAGACTGTTGTCTTCAAAACACTTAAGTTGTAGGTTCCGTTTTGCTCGTAGATGCTAGTGATACTTTCAGGAACTTCCCGCTTTATTGACGCCAAAGCACCTGCTCTGGGTTTTTTCGTGTTCTTGTGGATCAATATGACACACAATTGTGCATTCACTAGCGTCATGGCGCACTTCAACAGACAAGAAATCTCCGCGCGGACCCGGACGACGTCGGTAAAGAGAAAAATAAGCGTCCAGTTTGATTAATTCGCGGGCTGTTTAACTTCACTATTTAAATTAACAGCGTTAATTTTACGGGATAATTATTAAACTTATCAGTATATTTCCAGCTTTATGGAGCTCTAAATTTATCACAGAGACCCTCCATTTTACCCCACTTTGAATCAGTTGATTGCAGCCTACACCTTCACTCTGTTTCCCTAAGGTTTATTTTAATATTATTCTCCCATAATATTTCTATGTCTAGTTCTCCGTAGTAACCTTCTATCTCCTTGGAGGTTTTCACGCTAAATTCTATAGACAATATTTCTCATTTTCCCAGTCATTTTTATAAATATCTCCTTCTTCGTGATGTAATCGCCGTACCAATACTAGGTGAAAATAAATTTTGAAGCTTTTTTCATTATGTAACTTTCCCATTCTCCTCTTACTGCTCCTTTTTCTCAGTACTTCGTTTTCAGACATCGTCAATTTGTGATTATCTCCCACAATGACGGACCAATTTTTACACACATATACTACAACTTTTTAATATGTGTGGTTTTTTTCTCTTATGTTATGGGAGCACGGTTATGGATGATGAGTAGTTAAACAGTTGAAAGGAACTAGTTATGGCCTATGCACTAGGAGACTAGGAGAAACTACTATAGCCCTGAGTGATAATAGTCAGTAACCCGACCTGGATTCGAACATTGTAACTCCTGATACAGGTATCCACCGGATGTTCTGATAGTTCTCTAGTTGTGCTCTTTCTCACTACGCGAATGCTGAGATAGTAGGCAAATATACCACGACCTCGTCTTTATTTATCTCTCAGCTCATCATCCTTGATCATCTTCCAGTCCGATTACACGTCAAGTAATATTTGGATATCGTCGTTAAATTAGGGTAAGTGTGGGTTAATCGGACCACAAAAAGGAAAATCAGCTAGGATGCTATACTTAGTGATTGAAAAATTATGACCATGCCATTTTTGGGTTGTCTGGTCCTTCCACAATATGATACATTGTTTCCGTTGTGATTGCATTCTTACCTGAAGTGTTTCATGCGATTCTGTGAAGACTCTATATTGTCTTATTCATGGCTCTACTAACCCCTGGTCCGTTACGCTGAACTTACCTTACATAAGGCTCACTCGTATAGTTTTGATGTTCTTCATTACGTCACCTCTGTAGTTGAAACAGGGTCGTTAAACATATCTAAGAATCAGCCAGTAGCCTACAGCTTTATTAGTCTTTAGACGCCAGTCTCCTTAAGACGAGAGAGAGTTTCGAAGGAATCTTTTTCTCATCCCACGTGCTACTCACCCTTGCCATTGAATATTTCATGGGAGGTCCTCTTCTATCCTCCCTCTGCGATCATGTAACTCATTAATTCAAGCAGCAGTGCTGGTCTCGGGGAAGACAGTGTCAACCGTCCATGAGATAGCATGAAATTGGTTTACTCAGTCGCTTTATTTGTTCTTTGTAACGGAACGCGTACTGCATGTTTCTACAAAACATTTAATGGAATGGAAGTACCTCACAAGGGGCTCACAAACCTAACGTGAGTGAGACACTGACCTGGGAAATCCCTTGAATAAAAATGGTACACATTAACTGTTATACTGGTCCATGTGACTGCTTTCATACGGACACTGTGACTTGTATAGAAATAGACCAATTGAAGTGATACTTCTGACCATTTCCATTCTATCAGGTTCCAAAGAAAATTTCTTTGTCAGCGGCAACATCGAAACTTGGCTTCTGTAACAAATCATCTTCCTGTACATGTCCATCCTGTTAAGGAAATTTGTCGTGGAAGTGGCTGTAGAAATTAATCAGTTGAATTTATCATTTTATTCATTTGTTCTGACAGGGATAATTGTTGTATAAGTGGTAGCAATGAAATTAATAACAATAATTAATGTAAGATTTTCACAGCGGTGAGTATGAAGATTTCTGTCTTCTGGGTTGTTGCGCCGTGTAGTATGGTAGATGTTTACCAACGTTTCAGAGGTCATACTGCCTCCGTCATCAGGGCGATGATTCATCTACCATACTACACGGCGCAACAACCCAGAATACAGAAATCTTCAACAATAATTAATATTTTGCAGAGGAGTGCAGCGCAGACCGATGCAGTAAGGTGCCCTGTCAACATGGTGGCAAGTGTCTCATCTCTGGAGAAACGGCGGTGTGTCTGTGCCCCCTCGGATTTACAGGGGACCTGTGTGAGACCAGAGTCGACTTGCAGGTAGGACGAAGTCTTTCATTTCTGACTGTTAGAAAATTCTTATAGTCATGCTTCTCTAATAAAATCCTTTGAAAGTGTTACAAAATTCAAATATTTGGAAACAACAATAACAAATAAAAATGATATTCATGGGGAAATTAGGGGGAGACTAAATTACAAAAATGCTTGCTATTTCTCAGTTCAAAATATTTTATCTTCCAGTCTGAACCTGTTGATTAAAATATACAAAACAATAATTTTGCCTGTGGTTTCGTATGGATGCGAAACATGGACTCTTACTCTGATGGAGGAACACATATTGCAGGTGTTTGAGAATAGGGTGTTGAGGAGAATATTTGGGCCTAGGAGAGAAGACGATGGGGTCTGGAGAAAACTGCTTAATGATTAACTTAAAAATTTCTACTCCTCCCCCAATATTGTCAGGGTGATTAAGTCAAGAGGTGTGCACCGGGTATTGGTCGGGAAGCCTGAGGGGAAGAGACCTCTGGGGAGACCTAGATGCAGATGGGAGGATAATATCAAGCGGGATCTATGGGAGATAGGAGTTGACGGCGACTGGATTTTGTTGGCCCAGGACAGGAACCGGTGGAGGGCTTTTGTTAATTCGATGAAGAACCTTCGAGTTTCTTACGCCATTTAATTAGTTGGTTGGACATGCTTCTAGATCACTTCAGGCTGGCTTACACAGAATCGAATGGACGGCTGCATACAGAATGTTTAGTTCGATTTTTTGCATGACAAAAAGAAGCTTTAACTATGAATGGCAGAATTTATATTAGGCAGAAAATTAGAAATAATCAGTTTCCTTGTTTTATATGATGGAATATTTTCATTAAGTACATAAAATGGGCGTGTAATGGAAAGGTCATATATGTCCGCATGTTTAACCTTTTAAAGCCCAGTGCTAAATATTTATCTCACCTGCTTGACAATCTGTAAGTATGTATCGTTTATGATTTTCAGTTTAAACAGCGATTATTTCCTTGAACTGCATTAACATACTGATCTTTGTAATGGTGACATATATTCCTTACGGTACGAACTGAATAATTAATTAATAGCAGAATACCAGCCGCTGTGACAATCTGGACGACATGCGTGGCCTTTGAAACCTGAATACTGTGGCGACCTGGCGACTATTCTGACCGCGATGTTATAGTGGCCTTGGCGACTTGTGAGACATCGGAGAGATACGTAGGCGGGTTTGTCTAGTTTTGCTAAGGTTATATTAGGTTATGACGTCAGATTATGTTAGGTCACATCGTAGGATTTGGTCAAGTTATGTTAAGTTTGGTCAGGTTAGGTCTGTTTACCATTATTCACCTCTTGGCGCTCTGCGTCGTAACAGTGTCGTCGCTGCGCTCTGCGTCGATTTAGTAACGTATGGATTTCGAGGCTCATCTCTGCTATATTCTCAATGCGTGTCGCATGACATCCCTGCTTTTGTATTGGCTTCATTCACGTTTCAAAGCTGAGGTCGCGACCTTAGACTTCGTGACGCTGGCCGTCGATTTTTCGCCGCCATTTCTAGTGGTGTCCCTAGGCTATCCTACGCTAAATGTAGCACCTTTCTGCTTCGCAAACTTTGCTTCGGTTTTCCAACTTATTGTCCAGTGGCATCCTCTGGATCAGTGGTATTCAACCTTTTTTGTTCGCGTACCCCCATATTTAAATTCTCTTCAACTTTGTACCCCCAAAGTTGTTGGTGTATAATTCGTTATACATAGTATATAATCTACATCTAAAATAAATTAAATAAATTACATTACTGATTATTCAGTATTTATCATAAAATAATATATTTTTTAAAAATTTCACGTACCCCCGGGGGTGCGTGTACCCCAGGTTTAATACCACTGCTCTGGATTACCTGTCTCAAACATGGCATTTTTTGTGTCGTCGGTTTATAAGCGTCGTCGTTTTTACTGTGATCCCGAGGATGTCCTGCGCTAAATATGGCGTCTTTTGGAGCCGTCGCGACAACAGTCGACTGTTCACGTCGATGTTCTCTGTCCTTTCCGATGGTATTCGATGGTCTTGTGACAGCGTCTCGAGATGCTCGATGTTGGCTTTTGAGTATATTATGGCGTATCGATGCTTGATTTGGAATTGAAGAAGTTGGCGTGGCGTCGATAGGTTTCTCGACGTTCAGCGTCGGTTTAATAATGTGTCGTAGGACATCCCGATTCTCATCTGCTACACAAATATGGAATATTTTGTCGGCATCGGCGTCGCAACGCCTATCGCCAGGGCTGTCGTGGGTTCGTATTTGTCATGTTGTATGTCACGTCTTTTCGGGTTTGTGACCTTGAGTGTTGTAATCTCTCCGAAATGAACAACTTTTGCTTTGACGCCGTCCACCTTTTATGCCTAGTTTTGGGGCTGCATAAACGTTCATGGTCAAGACTCAAACATATAACAGTTGTTGGTGTTGTGGAATTTATTTCTGTAATATCCTCTTTGGAACGAACAACTTTGATCTTGGTGCCATTGTTCTGTCGTTCTTAGTATCTTACCTACAGGAACTGTCTTTACTGAGAATATAATCAGGGATTCTGATCTTTGTGTCTGTAATATTCTCTTTGAAATAAATAACTTTCGCCTAGGCTCCATGCTTATATCGTGCTTAGTTTCGCAAGTTCAAGTAACGCAGATGGCTGTCTTCTGTGTTTTAACGCCGTGTAGTCTGGTAGTCGTAAGTTTACCAACATTTCAGATATCCTTGCTACTGGTGCTGCGGTGATTGCGCCCTGATGATGCAGTCAGCAAGAACCTCTGAAACGTCGGTAAACTTCTACTAGACTACGCGCTGCTGAAACTCTTCGGACGCACCGCCGTGAAAACACCAAATCATACAGGAAAATCCCTAATCGGAAATCGAACTCAGGACAACTTATCCTGAAGTTTTGACCTTATATTCTCTTCTTTGTCTCAAGAAATACTCGTGCCACGTTTGGTGCAAATCTGTATATCCGTTCACGAGCTATAAACCCATAATTTTAACTTTATATGTAAGGATGAAATTGCGCCTACACAATAATACTTGATTATAGTTTAAATGTTTCTTAAATATTAACTATATGTTTCGACCTAAGCAACTGAAAACGTGTTTACAAAGTAGCAGTCATATCGATTAGTTTCGAAAACTTCAAGATAATCACCTGAAGATTACCAATTACGGCCGAAAAATTTGTGGATTCTTAATAAACATTGAAACCATAATCAATATTTGTTATGTAGGTAAACTTTTAACTTAACGTTCAATACATAATAAGATCCATCCCTTAAAACTTTGTATGTAAGGTTGTTTAGGGGAGCTTCGGCTTTAAACGATTAAACTCAGAAACAACTGAACTGATTTTTATTAAATTTTTTTATTTACAGTTTGCACCATGACTTTCGTTGTAGACTGTTTAGTTTAGGTTTATGTTTATGCACTACGTCACATGAAATTCAGATCGAAATTTATTCTCAATCACACGTGAGAATACGAAGTATTATGTAAAATAAAATGGAACCCAAATTTAGCGAATTGCAGGATTTTATCAACGACCGTCCGACTCATTGTGTCAGCCATAATATACAAGGTGATTCAAAAGGTTAGGGCCAAATTGAAATAATCGTACTTCGCTATTCTCCTACTAGCTTAATTTTGTTTGTTATTAATGTACAAGGATTACATTAGCAATCTTACAACCCAAATTGTTTCAGCGGTATGTTATCAGACTTCCCTACCTTCAATGGCCTTGACTGACTCAGGATAACTTCGGAGGACATGGATTCCTATTCGAAAGTTGTTCTCTCTGAGTCCCTCTATATGCTCCTTCAATTTGGTCCTAACCTTTTAAATCATCCTGTATAGGATCTAGGGTCCTTTTCATCATGTCATGTCGCTGACGGCATCGCTGAACGTTATGTAAGGTGGAACACCCGGTGTATGCGTCCAATGCTCACTTATGAACGCATTTTAAAATGCAGGCAGATAACGACATTACGCTCATGGTCAGCTTTGTAACTGGCAGTAGAATACTATCCAATTTGAACAGCTCACATTTTCGGAGTTAAACATGAAACAAAGATTAAGCTACAATGACGAGACTATTACCGAATGCGTGAAAAATGTCTGCTTAAATAAGGTTTATTATCCTAATTGTACTTCATTGCAGGTGAAAGTATACTGGCATAAAAAATTGACTGACATGAAAACGGAGAAAATTCAGTAATGTCAATTAAGATTGTTAGGATGGTTAAATCATAGGGGATGAAGTGGGCAGGACATACAGCGCAAATGCCAGAGATGAGAAATGCATAAAAATTTAGCCTGGTAACCTCAAGACATGAGATTGTGGGCTCTTTCGAACGCGCTAATAAGTATTCGTGTTCCTTAAAAAAAAAAAAATTCGACTGGCTAAGCGACTGTCAGTTTCTCAAGAATCCTCTGCTCAAAGGAGTTACTTATATTGCACTCGAGTGCATTCTTAGACTTTTGCTGTGTGTCACCTACAAAATTACTTGTGTAAAGCGCACTGAGGAACTTAACTTTAGCTAAATAGCTAGGTAGTATTTGTTGAGCGTTCCAAGTGATTAAGCATGCATATCATTTCAGTCCCTTGCAGCAGAAAATGTACGTTAATTGTATTCCATTTCTCATGCACGCGAGAAGACATAAATGGTGCTTCAGTGGCGAAGTACTGTGGTTGTATTCCTCGCATCTTCTCTGTCACATTTAGAGTTACAAACAATTAATGTTCTTTGCCGTACACGTAATTGGATCAGATCTGTGCAATTCCCTGCGTTCAGCGGGTTTCTCCTGCCTTCAATTAACGGATATAAACTGTTTTGCATGAAACATTATGATATGGAAGTCTGTTTTAAGACCCTGCAAGGAACAAAGCTTTTCAACTCATGCCTTTCAACAATGCAGCTCCTATTCTAAATAGGAGTGATACTGTGTTGTGAATGCATCGAGATATTGCTACGTTCAGCTTTGGAACATGATAACAGTTGTAATATGTAAAATTGTTATTTTGGACATTGTCTGTCAGTAGATATAATATGTGGGCACGAACTCATGAAAAATCCGGACACTATTGTTTTAATAAAACACCCCGAAAAAAGACAAACCCCCAAAAAAGCAGTTTTATAGCGTTCGGATTTTCAAAAATTTTGTCGAACGCTGTATATTTCTTAACAAAACACATCAAAAATCGACTAAAACAGTGAAAATAGCATTTCCCCAAACAGTTGAGAAACCAGCGCATGATCGCCAGCTTTTAGAATATATTTCATTACTATTATGCAATGCGTCAATTGTCTGATATATGTCGAACACTATTTTTACATATATATGAGAAAGAATTAAATACAAACAGAATATGTAACGCGATAGGTCTGTGGTAGCTTTCTGATTTTACAGATCTCCTGTGTTGTTAATGCAGTTTCAAATCTCGGTTCAGTAAAGGGTTTTGCAAATTGTAATGTATACGATTTGTTCATACTATATATATGAGAATGCACCTACTTTCAACAACATAGCACAGGGGCCCTTGGAGGACTTTAGTTAATTCGATGATGAGCCTTTGGGTTCCGTAAGCCACTTAGTTTGTTTAGTTAGATAGTTTTGATAATTCATCCACCTTAGTTCTCCCCAGCACCCTTATCTAAGACAATCTGTATTCTCCCTTTAGTGCGATAGACCAAGTTTCACACCCGTACAAAACATAAAGGAAAATTATAGTTTGTGTAGCTAGGTATTTATGGTTTACATCAGGTGTGTTAACGTCGTGGCCGTATTCGATATTTTAACCGGCCCGACTCAGTTCTCGACTTAGGCATGATATCCCCACACTTTTATAAATGTTAAGTTTCGGATGCACGCCATACAGCTACCGTATGTCACATGGCATAAACGTATGTACCAAAACATGTTATCTTTGATACTTGATGTTTTGTATTGTGTTCGAATATAAAAGCAAAAATAAACGAACTGAACAATGTAACTGTATATGCCAGAAGTAAAATTAATTTTTCCTTTTAGAAATTTAGCAGAACAATGACCAACCGTTCCTTTCTAATAGCGATCGATGATTGATCGATTAATTCTTAAATTATCGACGACATTTTTCAACTGCGTTGCGTCAAATGGTAGTACGAGGTGCGATCGGAAAGTTTCAAGACTGTGTCAATAGAGGGCGAACCGGATGTAGTACGAGCTTCTGCCTTTAGGGGGTGCGGCCTACATTCATAATGAATCAGTGTGCCAGTCGGCATCATCGAATTAGCATTTGTTTCTTAGTTACGGGCGTTTTGGTAGTGCATTACACCGACCCTCCTGCGATTTCGGAATGGCGTGTGCATCAAATTTTGCCAAAGACTCGCCAAAACGGCTACGGAAACCTATGAAATGCTAAAGCAAGCATTTGGGGAGTCCGCAAACTTTGGTGTGGCATTCACGTTTTAAAAATGACCGAACCTCTGTCGATGATGACGAGAGTTCTGGACGACCATCTTCGAGCACAACGCCCGAAAATGTTACGAAGATCGACGTCGTACCATCAACGACTTGTGCGACATTGTTGGGACCTGTCAGCTGATTCTAAAGGAAGAACTCCACATGCGACGCATCAAGACAACGCGCCAGCGCACACCGCCCTCAAAGTTCGGCAGTTTTTGGCCTCAAACACCATGGCCGTCATCCCGCACCCTCCTTATTCACCGGATTTAGCTCCGTGTGACTTCTTCCTCTTCCCAAAGATGAAAATTCAGCTAAAGGGAAGGAGATTTGAGACGATAGAAGAGATTCAGGCAGAATCGCAGATGGTGCTTGACAGGCTGACAAAGAAAGATTTCCAGGGATGCTTCCAGGCTTGGCAACGGCGCTGGGATCGTTGTGTTCACTCCCAGGGGAACTACTTCGAGGGTGATGGATGAATTTAATACCTGAGATAAGTGTACGGGTTTTTATAGGCGCAGTCTAGAAACTTTCCGATCGAACCTCGTATTACTGTAAATTACGACTTTGTAAATGACATGTACGGAGGCGCCTGTTTTGAAGAACGGTCCCAGAATTTACTTGGTTGGACTGAGGAAAACCAGGAAACATTTCTTCTATGATAGGCTGTCACCGGGTCGAGATTAGAACCCAGATCTCTGCAACAGGAACCAGGAGTACAAACCATTGAACCTTGTCCGTCTACCCAAGCACCACGACTTGAAGCCGAATATGGGCATTGGATGAGGATGGTTAGTCATATTAATACTTCGGCCGCTTTATCTCTGTAAAAGAGCCCTCCGGTGCCACTGGTAAGCGGTTTGAGTGTACCCGAAAGCCGGCCAATCTAAACGTGGTGACAAGAGAAAATTCCCATCAGCAGGTCTTCATCAAAACTGATTTATCGCTGTCTGATAGAACTCTAGCTGTACTTCATCTTCCATGTGTTCTTTCCTCGTGCAAAACTGATGCTTGTGACCTGAGGGTTCCCATATCGATCTGCAAAAGGGCCTGTCACATTGTGCGACACGTTGCAGCGCGACAGATTCCTATAAAATTCCACACTTCTCGACGGAACTTGCAGGTAGAAACCTATGAACCTGTCGAGAGAAAGAACAGCTGAAAAAATATTAAACTAATTATTACATGGAGTAATAATAGAATCCAACGTCTTAGAATGAAATTACATTTTCAGGAGAGCCGTAAGTCTCGTTTAGTGAATAAATGAAACCTCCAGCGTGAAGTTTGCCAAGAAACATGGTCAAGCTTATATGAAGCCGCCTAACACGTAAGATGGTTTACGTCTCTCGTTCGCCCTTGATACTAGCATGGTTTCATGCAATCGAAATATAAACAAGCATTTCAGAAAGAAACCTGTGATTTCTGTGTTCCTTTGTATCGGGGCTGTGGAGTTGGAGTCGGAAGCAATTTTAGGTGTAGTCGGAGTCGATAAAAATGTACCGACTCCGACCTCGATATAAAATCTTAGGAACACTTTCGCTACCGTGTGAGCCGCCTGTGGCCACACGCTTAGGGAGATTCAACGACGCGTTGAGCCACGTGGTGTGGGAATAATACCTTATAACTTTAGTTCCAGTACCTTAAGACTGTCTACAAATCAACCGATTGTTGCAATAAACATTAGACTTATATTTAAATGTAGGCTATAAGTCTAAGAAGTAGCCTGATGACTCACGTGGTGGTGATGAAATCTCTTATGGTACCATTTACCATTGTAATAGGATTACCACTATTAATACATATTGAGTTTTTATGAAGGAGTCGGAGTCGGAGGTTTTGGCACCGACTCCACAGCCCTGCTTTGTGTGCTGTTTTATGTAGCTACAAAGTACCCAGAAAATAACTAAGTTCTATAAGAGTTTGGAAAGGAGTAAGGAAAGAGGAGGGAAGAAAACAGAAGTACAAAATTGATAAATTAAAGAAATAAAAGAGGGTGAGGGAATAAGATATCGAAGAAATCTTTCCCGGTGAATCTTAAATCTTGAAAAGTTGTATCCTGCTGTGTGTGTAACCTAAATGATGAACAGTGCGATCGTCAAGATAACTATATTTCAACCTTCATCCATCTGCAGGCGTTTCTTTAAACTTTCCGTAGACGTCGGACTGTATAGCTACTAATTACAAATTAATGGGCATGGAAATACGGATCTTTATGTTTATTAGATTGTCGGTAAAATAATCATAATTGTATTTCTTTGCCTAGCGAAATTGAAAATATATAATGTTACAAATCTTTGTCTAATTATAATAAGATGAATAAAATAAAATTATATACATGGTCATTCCCCAGTAAATTTTAACGGACTTTTGCACTAGTTTATAAATAATATTAAACTTTTAGAAGGAAGTATGTTTGATAAAATAGGCTTAGTACCGAAAGGTTTATCGAGTCCGCTACAGAGCGCAACAAAAATTAACTTAACTTATTGGTTATATGGGTTGTAACATAATGCATACCTGTAGGTAGATATCAGCGTTTCGGAGAGACTTGCTATCTCCATCTTCAGTGTTGAATGTATTTTCCCGCCATGAGAACCACAAATATCATGAACTAAATTTTTCAGGTGCCCTCTTTCAATGGGTCAAGCTACCTGAGGTACCCGGGTCTCGGGGGGTCAGCGCTTTCCTGGCTTGATCTCCAGTTGACCCTAAAACCTAGTGCCCAAGATGGGGTCATTCTGTACAATGGGCATCGCTCAGATGGAGTCGGCGATTTCATGGCTGTGTACATGAGTGATGGTCATCTCGAGTTTACTTTTGATCTGGGTACTGGTGCTGCCACCATCAGGTAAGAAATGTCTTGTCAAATTTTGTTGAAGTGCTACTTAAAAAATGTGTAAATTACGCAGTTAGTGAATATAATACAAGTGTTGCGGAAAAGTTACTGCCCGAAAGATGTGTAAATAAACAGTTCCATTGTGTATTACTATAATCACTGGATTTTGACTCATCTGCCAACCAGATCAGCGTACACAATTCTGCCTGCATCATCCGATTATGTAAAGAGTACAAATAATTTCTTCTTGGGTAATTTTGTGGAAAATATGCTACCAGTTAGTTCTGTCTTTTATCGTCCTGTATTGTACACAGAAACCTAAAAATAAAACAAAAATGTAAGTTCACATGGTGCTTTGTGAAAACATAAAATATGATTGGTCTCAGAGCATTTGGGAACAAATTGCTGAGGATAATATTAGGATTTAAGAGGGAGAAAGAATCACGGAAATACATTAAATTACGTAATGAGGTTCTTCGTCTAATATTCTTAAAGTGATTAAATTGAAGTAACGATAGTCTAGATCAGTAGCACGCATTGATAAATTGTAAATATTTAATCATCAAACCTCAAGATAACCTAGGGCACCTAGACATGGATGGGAAGGCAATATTAAAATAGATTTTCCAAAAACAGTTCATCTATAGCAGTGGTATTCAACCTTTTTTGTTCGCGTACCCCCAGATATAATTTCTCTTCAACTTTGTACCCCCAAAGTTGTTGGTGTATAATTCAAGTTATGCATAGTACATAATCTACATCTAAAATAAATTAAATAAATTACATTACTGATTATTCAGTGTTTATCATAAAAAATATATTTTTTTTAAAATTTCACGTACCCCCTAAGATGTCTTCGCGTACCCCCGGGGGTACGCGTACCCCAGGTTGAATACCACTGATCTATAGGATAAAATCCAGTGGCGGGCCTTTGTGAACATAGAGTAGTACCGAACCTGTGGGTTCCATAAAAGCCGAAAAAATTTTGGCCAGCTGAGCGACTACTATAAAAGACTTTACGCTTTTGAACTTTTCTGAAGAAACATAGACCACTGAATACTACAAAAATTACTATTTGTTGGTTCTGCACTTGCACCCTGCGCAGCCACAATGTATAGGCTAACGCGGTAATGAAGCTGAAGATGTATGATGTGGCATAACTTGCCGCCAGGAAGACTTTTGGGGTCTTCGAAATTTTATAAGCTTACCAGTTATATTATAAAAAGTCTGCTTACTAGGGCCACATGCCAAAAGAACTTTGAATGGGTTAATGTTGTCAGTTTGCGGTAGTCTGAGATTTTAATGGTATTAACACACTACTAACATGCTACACTGCTGTGAAAACCTCAAATCTTACAAGTTCACGTAGCTCAAACATGGAAAGTTATTGAATATTGCCACTTCATTCAATTTGTTTCCATATTCTATTAATACATTTGCAATTATAACATAATGATACAAGACGTAATTAAAATACTGTAATATCTTACGTGCATAACATTGAAAATGTAAGTAGGGCCTATATGTGTTCGCTTATAACTCGAGAATGGATTCACCACTTTGTCCAAGACATTGAATGCTTATTTTTGAAACAGGAAGATATTTTCAGAAAGGTCGAAACTTCAAAAATGTCTAAGGTTCGAGTCCCGGTGAGGGTGGTTTCTGAAGCTCGGAAACTAAGCACAGTAGGAAAACAGCGCAAAGACAAGAGCTGTTTGTTTCGGCGAGGAGACCATAAGTCCGTCATAAGACCGAAGATGTTTCCTGGGTTTGAGTCTCAGTGAAGATGGTTTCTGTAGTTTGGTAACTAAGCACGATGAAAGAACGGCGCAAAGAAGAAAATTGTTTGTTTTGATGGTGAGATTGCACAAAAACTGTCATGGGTTCCAGTCTTGGTGAGAATGCTTATGTAGTTCGGAAACAAACGGGGTCTAGAGTCTAGACCTTCATCCCGAAGGTCACAGACCTGAAGATGTTGAGTTTTGAAAAATAATTATTTCCTTTTATATTCAGCGATACGTATCAAATGATGAGGTTTACGATAAGCTTTGAGACGATAAATATTGATTAGAAATGTAAATATTTGTCGAATTTATACGCAGTAACATTGAGGTTACTCTACCATTTAATGTATAAAATTGGCTTTTAATTAGAAACATGTGGGTTGTTTGTGATCCATGCCTTGGATCCCTACTCGGCTTTCTCGTTTTCTGTATTTTCATGTTAACTCTATGTGTACCTGATAAAAATAACGCCGATATTTTACGTCATAATTGTCTTTGCTGTTATACATATCCTTTGAGATCTCGGTGTATTATAATACTGTCGAGGCTAGTGTTATGTTGCAAGATTATATTCGTTTCTTAAAATTTTCATCTTGTGCACGCCGTGTGTAACAAAAGTCCTCATGTCATTATGTCGTACGAAGCACGGTGCCTGCGGCGGCCGCTCCGGTGTAAGGACGGCCCAGCTGTCAGCTGAAGTACATTTACAGACTGTCCCATTAAATCTATAGCCTACACACAAGGTTAATTTTCCATATTATAATATATTATGATTATGAAATGTATGGAGCACTCTGTGCTTTTAAAATATGCTATTTGAAACTTTATATCTCTCGTTGATTCTGACAACCATTTATTACCAAAACTAACAGTTGTCGCAAAGCTGGACGCTAAAAACGTTGGAAAACGTTTAAAACAAAAGTTGTAAATTCGAACGAGATCTAGTATGGGTGTGAGATAAGGTGGTTTCGGAAATTCTGTTAAATCCTATCTGAACTTCATAAAAAGTAGGATTTCAGGTTTTTACAGTGATGAGTTCAATGACTCTTCGCCCTGATGATGGAGGCAGCAAGGACCTCTGAAACGTTGATAAACTTCTACTACACTACACGGCGCTACAACTCAGAAGAGAGCTACCTTCATATAAAGCATTTTAGACCCATGTGAACCAAAATTAAATTCCCTTAACAACTTTTGGTGATGATGTCCTGCACCAGTGTTTCGAAATATATTCACTAGTTTCGAATGTGCCATTTGGACGGATGGGCATGGCATCTCCATTGTGCATTCATTTCGTGTACTTTTTTTCAAACTAACCATAAAAAACACTCTCTTTTCAGAAGAGGTATGAAAGTTCTAAATCATAGATTAAAATATAATTCTTATTAGTGTCAGGATGTACATATCTGCCGGATTGTAATAATTAGGCCTACGTCTCAGCTTCCAATTAACAGCTAACAAGCCCGTTGGTGGGCGGACAGCACCAATTTGACCTGTTAACCAGTCGATAATTAGCGAGTTCGAATTCTGTAACTGTGTTCAGACGTACATCAAAGGAACGGTCTGTCCGGACACATTTCGTAAGAACCAAGCAGATAGGTGTTGGGCTGACGCTGTAGTCAGGGCCTTGTTGGAATCTTTGTGAAGTTAACGTTTATTTCTCAATGTGAATTTGTTGAGTCTCTCGAGAAATCTCTGGAACTTTGAAAGAGGCCGCGACACTCACCATTTAGGTTCATATTCCCGTCTCATTTGCCGCTGAACAGACCTAATATCTGAAGACCAATCCTGGGGGTTCCGTTGGTGGTGTTTGTATTTTGTATTAATTTTCTGCCTTTTCCCAGAAAGTGGCTGCCCTCAGTTGCTTTAAATGTATTTTGGGATGTGAGACTTGGGGAGTTTTTCATGGCGGTGAGGAAGTCGATATTTTCTTTCTAGGTTATGTCGTCTTGTAGACTCGTCAGTAGGTGTCAACTTTTCGGAGAAACTTACTGTCTCCATCTTCAAATCTGTACATGAAAACTTTTTCATATGGCGACGAGTCTACACGGCGCCAAAACCCAGAAGAAAAACTTCGTCATATTTTGGGATAGTTACTTAAAAATGAGCCATGGCCGCTTCTTCTCTGTTTCTTTCAAGTGCACCTGACATGGTCATCTTTTTGTATAATTTGAAACTAAATAATATCTGCACTTGATAGAACGTCATTATACACTATAATGTAAGATCCATCATTTCCTATTCATCATTCACAATCATTCTACAAGTTAATACTACATAACTTCTGTAGTTAATGTAGCGCCGTTAAAAATCTGTAAACAAGAAAGATAGTAACTTCATTAATTCTATTCAGCCACCACTTTACAAACCTATGTCTTAAATGTTTTGTTCTTTTTGCTGATGGATTATTCTTCTTTCAGAAAATTTTGGAGTTAAATGTTTCTTAAAATGTATTTTGTTACATTGTAGTGCAATAACTTACATGCTCTTAGTGTAACAAGTGTTTTGGTGTCATGGTGTGTTTACTATATTAGTTTTTGACTGAACAGAACCAATGTAGTTAACACAGCAGAATGTTAAAATACAGAATAGTCACTTTATTGGAATGGAACGTGCTAGAAGAAGAAGAAGAAGAAGAAGAAAAGTGTAGAAGTGGAATGAACTCTGTAATGACAAAGAAAGCGACTAAGAGGAACTTCCTCTAATCTTTGATGACAGCTTCTAGGAGCTCAAAGCACTAAGAGAATAAGATTAAAATAAATAGGAAGCGACATGATGAAGCTGATGGTGGTAGGGAGGCAGAGAATTGTCTCTTGTTTTAGTGTCTATATTCCGTCCTTGCCTCTCCTTTCTCTCCTCTCTCCTCTCTCCACTGTTCTTTCAGTATTCTTTACAGATTGTTCTATCTCGTAAATTGTCTCTCGGGGTTGAATAGAAGTTTCAAGATACATCTCAGTGCTCGTCATTGTGTGTCTTTGGCATAAAATCATGGAAATTGTCTCACGAAATTAAGGTTGACAAATAATAAAGTAAATAATATAATTGCATATACAGAATCAGAGTTATTAATGGATACCAATATCAGAGGTTTGTAAGAGCCCACAAGATGCATATAACATAAAATAGACACTTCAACAACCTTTTCAACAAGAAGTTCTGGGAAGAACTTGTGATCCCTGTGTCTACTATTTTGTGGCAACGATGACGTGAGTTATAATTCAGTAACTATGAAATCAAATTATCCATTTCTGTAATACGTTCCGCTGGTGCAGATTCTGACTATATTACATTTTCCAAAAGGTATTGACTGTAATTTTTGGTGTTGTGATGCCATACCCTGAAGATGGAGGTGATATGTTCCTATAAAACGTTGTTACCTCTTACAAAACCACAGTGGTGTCAGAACCCAGAAAACCGCAACTGGCATGTCTTATATGACGTTAACATTTTGCGGTGTCATGTCGCATCATGTTAGTAATTTTTCGCACAGGCCAATAAGAATTGTTTTTCTGTTATATAGCCATGTTTGTGACCTACTTATATTTTTTGAAGACCTGTTACCACCTAAAATTACAGTACTTTTTATTACGTACCGGTATTGTCACTCCCACCCAAAAAGTAATATCGCCATGTTGGTGTTATTGATGATGGGAAATTAAAAATAAAAAGGTGGGACAGTTTCTAGTAGCATGATATTTACGTCAAGTTTCGTAACACATTCTTTAAATGGAACGTGATAGCATAAGGCTACTTTCCCTTATGGAGTAAGGCAAATAGGTTAAATATTGCACTGTTCCTTCAAATAAATAAAACAATTGACATTTGGTAATTAGGATGAAGAATTTAATTTGTTTTTCCTGTGTATCTTGCTTCCTGACTGGAACAAAGTATTGGATTTTTAGTTTATTTCATATTATTGTTTTCAATGAAAATATTATATATTGTCAAATAATGTGTGGTATTGTTCATGAAAAAGGCATTTGTAGGGGTCTGAATGTCTTGTCATAAATTTTGCTTATATGAGTAAAAATATTAAAAACTTCAATATTGCTCCACACCTTCTTTCAAATTTGGAACCCTTAAAATACAAAGTAGGGGTGATATTTGTTAAGAATGTGAATATGGTACCTGACTCCGTGGATGAGAGTTGTTCTTTATAAAATCTGTTAGTTGTTCAGTTAGTCAGTACTGTCTTGTATGGAACCTGAATATTCATTGCTGTGTTAACCGTAAAAAGGAAGATGTTTTGAAACTTCAATCAAAGTCTCGGACAGACGGACCTAACAGAGGACCGAATGGAAGAGGAGAATTGAGGAGGCCATGGACCGAATACGGACCGGAGAGCCATAGAAGAAGAAGAAGAAGAAATGTTAACAAAAACACACCATTCAGCCATTACCCAAGCCAGTTTCATCCAGTCCATGACCTCACACTCTGTTTATTAATTACATTTGTTTCAAAACTATCATTCTATCTATGCCCATGTGCCCCAAACTATCTTCTTCCTTTAGGTATTCCTGTTGAATATCACAGCAATAGGGTAAAAATAGTTTTACTTTCCACATCTCCTGATTTGTTGTATTTAAAAAAAAAATAAAGTTTGCTTGAACTGTTGGTTTGACATTGTGCACTTTCATTTTTTGTTGTATGAAATAAGATGACACTGAGTGCGAGTCTGTTGCATACCAAAGGACAAGAGAAACCTATTAGATTATCAGGATTCAAGTCCCTCGTGTTTCACTCTGTTCCGATTTATCTCACTGCACGATAATCCCCTTGAGCAAAGCTTACATGTTGTGACTAAACACCGTATGTTCTGCAACCTTTGTGACGACAACCTAACTCCATAAACAGAGAACGCCACCGGGAACTAATTAGGCAGGGCAACGATGTGCTGACTTAGTATTTTCTCAAAGGTTTCTTAGTACTGTGATATTATTTTATGGTGGCTTGTGGTATGGACAAAACGGAAGGGAAGAGTAGTCATGGGCACAAGTAATTTGCATTGGGTAGATTCAAAAGTTGTCACGATTCTATGACAAATTTTAGATGGACGTCATATGATTAATTTTCAGTAAGAAGCATTTGGTAAGCTCAAATTTTGCTCAGCTTCTTTTAATATTATTAAAATGTTACATGCAAAAAAAGTTTAGCAAAATTTTGGAATTAATTTTGCCATTTTCAAATTTTGTAACATTTCATGAGCCTAGTAGTGTAAGTAATTGTAGTTTAAATTCAGTGCACAGAAATTCATGTTGTGCTACTTGTTTTATTTTTATTTATTTTATTTTATTTTTGTCAGTCCATCACCTTACCTAACATTTTTGCATTCTCATCAGTGCCTACTGCCAACTGTGAATCAATATATGTTACTTTTCTTGAACTACATCAAAATATGCTTTTCCAGTGGGACTCATTAGTGCAGCAGATTATTTGCATAAATTAATAGTTGTTTCATTTCACAGAATAGATCATTGTTTTATAAATATACTGAAAACTACACTTATTTTTTTTACTAATTCGTTACTTTTACTTAATGTTATCTGTTTCAGAGTGTGGCCTTCTGAGTTTTGCAATTGTGTGGTCTTGTTGGTGGTTACAAACTGTTTGAAAAACATAAATTATTAGTGCTTGAAAGAAAAATGCTCATCAAAATGAACTTAGAGGGACAAGTAAGTTGGCAGGTTAGGGCATGACAAGAAACTTCGTAATTTATTCAGGTGATCTATTTTTGTTACACTAATTAAGGTATGTTTGATGGAGAGATGAATGAATACTGAAATCTGGTGGGAAACCTTTGGGGAAGTTGCCACTTTGAAAGCCAAAAATGATATAGATAGATAATATTAATATGGATATTAAAGAAAGAGGTTGTGAAGTTTGGAGATGGATGACGCTGACTGAGTACATGTCCAGTGGCAGGTTTGGACATTAGCACTGTTAGTATACTAACAGCGTTATTTTGTTTTTCAACTTGTGTCAGCATGAAGTCTGAAGAGTTCTGATGATGGTGTATTATAATTTGTAAAATTGTTTCTTTTCGATTTTGTCCATCATCTAAATTATAAATAAGATTGAAATCTTTTGGATACTGATTCTGCTTCCATCTTCAGGTAAAAAAAGGGAAAGTACAGAAACCCTATCTGTTGGACCCCATGGTTGAGCTAGCCTCAGACCAGGTCTGTGGTTTTATTTATAATTTAGATGATTGACAAAGTCCTAAAAATAATTTTATAATTTTTACAAATTGGTGTCAGCAGCATTGTTTCTGTACAAGTGGAATACCACAGGCTGTGTTCTAAGTTAAGTGAAGCCACTATATGTGTATGTTACAGGAGTGGTGAGCCAGTGACTCTGGGCGAGTGGCATGAGTTGCGGCTCTCACGGACAGGACGCCTCGCCATTCTGCAAGTAGACAATATGGTACCAACACAGGCTATGGCCCCTGGTGCGTTCACACAGCTATCTCTCCCTCAGAACTTATACATTGGTGGAGTACCCAACTTTGATATGGTGTCGCCAAAAGTGAAGGTCCGGACATCCTTTGTGGGCTGCATTCAGAAGGTATGGAAAGAAAGATAAGTACAACAAAATGATGATAAATTTCTCAAGGTAAATCAGATTGTTCCTAATTGTAAGCAAGTTAGTGATCAAGATGCCATAAAGTTGATGGCCCCAGTATATATTCAGAGGGAGCCATCCCTAATTTGTGATTAGCAAACATGCAAGTCCTTACAACTGGGATCAGTTATCTGGGGCTTTACTCTGTTATACAGATCTAAGAAAGTTCATACAATAGTACTGCACTATGTTAATTAAGTTTCATTGGTCATGTAAAACAGTATCCCAAGAAATAATTTCTAAATATTGATGTACGAGGGCAATTCAAAAATTAACCTCCGATCGAGTAGGAAAGAAAAACAAAATACAGTGAAAAAAAAATATTATATACAAAAGTTACAAACATACATACATTACTTCTCAACATAGTCGCCACCCACATTCAGACACTTGTCGTATTGTGACACCAGCTTATCTATTCCCTCTTCGAAGAACGGTACAGCCAAGGTGCCCAGCCAGTTGTTGACTCCATCCATGAGTTCCTCATTACTTTCAAAGTGCTGAGTAGCCAGCCAGACCTTCATTTTTAGGAAAAGATGGTAATCACTCGGCGCCAAGTCAGGGCTGTAAGGGGGATGGTCGAAAATCTCCCACTTGAACTGGTCGAGTAGAGTCTTTGTGCGAGCGGCGGTGTGGGGCCGCGCATTGTCGTGCAGAAGAACAGTCCCCTTCGTGAGCATCCCACGTCGTTTATTCTGGATTGATCTCCTAAGCTTTATCAACGTTTCACAATAAACCTGTGATGTTATTGTCGTCCCTGATTCCATGAATTCTGTAAGCAAAATTCCTTTGCGGTCCCAAAACACTGTAGCCATCATTTTTTTGTTCGAAAATGTTTGTTTGAATTTTTTGGGCTTGTTCGGTGATTGAGTGTGCATCCATTGTTTCGACTGCTCTTTAGTCTCCACATTCGTGAAGCTTACCCATGTCTCGTCCCCAACGGCAGAATTTCATTCTGCTTGCAGAAAACGAATGACACTACGTACCTCACAACTGGCGGGAGCAGCAACTATAGCCTCCATCTTACACCACGCACTACTCAGGCAGTATTGAACAAATTGGCGGCCAATTTGATGTGCAACGAGGTGAAGGTTTGCTGATGTCGACTGCGCATGCGCTATGTTGCTATGGCAGCTGGTTTGTTTTTCGCGCCCGACCGGAGGTTAATTTTTGAATTGCCCTCGTAGTAAAAAATTATTCAGTTCCTCTACTAAGGTTGTACCAATGAAAGGAAGAAACATACTGATTATTTAGGTTAGTATTTGATTATTTTATGATATTTTAGCAGTTATTGAGTTTGGGAGAAGCTCTATTGGTCGAACTAACTCTGGCAGTAGAATTCAAAATTTTGGCAATCACTAATAACAAAATCCATGTGGTTTGATCTTGAGTCAGTTCCATTCTCATAATTTTGCACTCTTCATTGGTTTCCTGTGATTATTTGTTTCACATGGTCTCTAATTAATTATTTATTTGAGGAGCCTGTCTTTCTGGATTCTATTAGTAGTCCAAAATTTCAGTTTCCACAGATATTGTTTTTGGGTAATTTGAAATGTCTTGTATATTTTGTAGCCTTCTAGTCCATTTAAGCTGTTGTGTGGATTTCATCTGAACAACAGTGGTTATGGCTTTGTCTTTGGCTTTCATTGTCCACAAATTACTGACAGGAGAGGAGGAGAGTTTGGAGAACCAATGTGTTTTGTTTCTTATATTTTGGTTCCTCTTCTCTTTAGATTATTTCAAATAAAATCTATGTGTCTTAATAAACACTTTAGTTATGTTGTTTTATTGTATTGTGTAATGAGCCACTTTTGAGAAAAAATATGATGTTTGATTTGAGGTTTGTGAAAACTGGGGTTTGTATTGGGCCAACTTAGAGCAAATCTGAGTTTTTATTACCTCATTAGTGTAGATGCCCAATATAAACTTTCATTATAATTCAGTCATTGGTTCTAGATACAGAACATTTGGGTGAATGCACAGTTAACACCTGCCACATTATGCTGTCATTTTGCACCTTGTTCAAAGAATATATACAAATTTAAACACTGAAATTATTTTCCTGGATTGTAAAGAGAAGTTGCATTTTTATTATCAAGTGAGAAATTTGGACACTGGCTGATACATTCAGTGTTGCATGCATCTGAAATTGACTTCATAACAATCTTTGGATGAATTTCTGATACTTGCTTTAGGTGGTGATTAACAACCAGCCATTACAGATTCTGGCAGCTGCCTTAGGGGGTGTGAATGTAGACAACTGTCCTCACCCATGTGTCACTCGACCATGTGGTGATGAAGGTCATTGTGTACCTGAAATGGATTACTTCACGTGTGAATGTGCACAAGGCCATCATGATGTGCAGTGCCAACAACATGCTGCCCCCACCATTCTGCAGGACATACCAATCCCCAGGTTTGCAGGTGACAGCTACCTCCACTACAGTGATCCCGACACAATGCGCAGGCAAGTAGTGAATTACTTTGCCTCTCATAAAGTTTAATTTTTTAACTTCTTCAATAGTGCTTTCTTAGTGAAATATGTTATATAGCACTAAATGGGAGAATAATTGTTGTGAGACATTAGTTAGTTTTTGGCCTATTTAATGATGCTTTGTTAATGCATTGGTCATATAGTATGGCATATCTCAGTCAGTATAGTGACGCTATGGACTGGACGACCAGGGTTCAATCAAAATTGCATGCTTCTTTACTGAGAAATATTTTTTTCTGTATAATAAAATGAGCTCAAAAAGTAGTTATGCTGTTACCTAAAGTTCTTGTTGAAATTATGATCTGAATGTAGATTAAAGTGGCTGAACACATTTCTTTGCAAAAATCTCCAATTCTCCAAATTAATAAAAATCAGTTTGTCCATTCTCGAGTTGTTTCATGCATATGGACAGACAGACAGATGGACAGAGTAATTTCAGTAGGTGTTCCACTGGTTATGTATGCTTAGAAAGGTGATTAATTACTGGCACACTGAATTATTTTTGTTAGTCATTAAAATATAAAACCAAGTTGAAAATTATCTGACTCCTGTTTTTTTTGGGATGGCTCCTGGTCCAAAAAAAATGTAGTCATGACTTGGGCAGAACCGTTCCATTTATAAGGTACAGCATTCTTTTCTGTTTCCCAGAACTTTTTCACCCTTAACAGTGAAAGCATTATGGAAATTTTTTCTGTCGCATACTTTAAATGCTTTCTTTACATCTTACACACAGGATCATTAGCTATAAGATCAACATCAACATGAGATTCCGAACTAGCTCCTCTGTGGGTCTTCTTCTCTGGAGTGGGCGTCGAAATATGTCTGCAGCAGGGGACTTCCTGGGCCTTGGTATTGCAGACGGCTATCTCCACTTCAGGTTCAACTTAGGCAGCGGAGAAGTTATCATACCATACAACTATACACGAGTTGACGATGGCCTCTGGCACAGAGTGAAGGCTATCAGGTTTGTAGCAATTTTTGCTTTCTTTATTTGATGCATTTGCATAGCCCTATCAAAAAGTTTTCAGTCGTACGTAGAATTAATATCCATACCTCTTTGTGCAATATGCTAATGTGATGTGGCTGAATAAATATAGTAGATTATGTACTTTATTTCAAATGCTTAAACCTTTATTTTTGTGTGGATGCCCTGAACAACTGACTATCTTGTACAATTATTAATTATACATATTGATTAAGTACTAATTGGAGTGTGTTTGTAACATCAGAGAAATTCTTTTATAACAGTTTGGAAGTTGTCTGTAATTTTCTGGATCATTTTCCCTGTGAATAAATAGTCTATGGATAGGTGGTCTACACTGAATTATAGATACCAAAGACAAAAAACTCTGTGTATGTTTGGAATTAAACCCAGGTCGTGCAGCCCATAACATGTCATTTTATTGATTGATATATCTGAGAAATGTATCAACAGACAGCCTACCCCAGCATTGTACATAAAGAATTTATACCTTTAGCAGATATGAAAATTATAAACTGCTGATGTGAAAGGTAAAGTTGCCCTTGTGGCAATCACCATGTTGTGACAGCAAAAGAGGCATAAAGCTTCATCTTCTGTTCTAGACCCTGCCACTTGGTGTAGGTGAATGATCAGCTTCACACTCTAGCTGACTTTATCTGAAAGGAAATAGTCCCCTCTTCCCATTGGCTTGGTTACTGGCTGAGCCCCATAGCTTCTCGGGATTTGTCAGCAAAGATAGGAATCACAGCTGATGCTGGTTTCTATTCCCTTGTTAATTTGGTTTCCTCTTGCATTTGTCTCCATACTTGCCAAAAACATGAAATATGTTAATAATTCACAAGATGATTAAAAGTGTTTCTGTAATTCTTTTCAGAAATGAACAGGAAGGCTCAGTGACAGTTGATAATGGCACAACAGTCGCCAAAAGATCACCAGGAAAGCTTAGACAACTGAACACCAACACTGGTCTTTACATAGGTAATAATATTTTAGTTAAGCATAAGCATATTTCCCACCATTCATTACATTTTTAATTATTAACCACTATCCAAATTAGTTTTTTTCTGAAAAAAATATAAAAAATCTTGATTTTATTTAACATTTGGAATATCCCAACAAAAATTAAATTCTTGTTGTGTGTTTTGATTTAAAATATTCGATGGTACTGTACAAAAAGTTGCTTATGTAATAATTATAATGATTGCTATTCTAAGTTATCTCAGGATCACTTTCCATTGTTTGTAAAAATTAACTTATTCACAGTAACAACACATAAATGTCACTGCATCTAGTGTGGGAACTTATGACATGTGCTACAGGAGCAGAAAAGTTTTCCTATTCACATGCATTCCAGTGTAAAAATATATAAACATGTCTTATGAATGTACAGCAGTCTCTAATTCATTAACATCTGGAGTCAGATATGTGTATTTTCTTTAAGTCCCAAATGAATTTGGTTTAGCAGTAATAGGATGGGAAAAAAAATATTATCCCATGCTAACTCAGGTTGATATTTTATTTTTTACAAAGATCATCAACTCTTAGATATCTCAGAATAATCTGGGATGCAGTTAACTTCCATACTATTTAACAATAATGTTTCAGTTGCATGATATATGGAGCATTCATTGAGATGGGTCATGAATGGTGAGAAGGTAAATGCTTAAACGGAGTCATTTGTTTCTTATTTTAGCATACTATGATCATGGTGAGAGACTGAGGAAAACCATGAGAAAGTTTGGATAGCCAGTAACTCAGTTCAGTTTCCAATTGGGTGCCTCACAAATACAGTTCTAAAATGACATGCAACACCAATGTACCCAATAAATATTAAGAAAAGAGTGGCCCATTTTTTAAGGTTCTATCACAGCCTTCACTTTGAAACACTGAGGAAAGCCACCAAAAGCTTGCCAAAATAATTGGTAACATAGCAAAGATTCAAACTGTGTACCTCCTGAATACAGGTTGAAAGTGATCCTGTCACATCAACCTGCATGATAAAAATTTGGAAGGAGGGAATTGTGACCTGTTTCAGGAATTCACTCAAAATAAAATTGGGAAACCATGGAAACATAATCATTATATGTGGTAACCAGGCTAAAATTCAGGCTTCTCGAATAGAAGTCTAGATACAGCTTTACCACTGACCATCCTCCGTAATTTCTTTCAACAAGTTTCAACACATACATTCATTTGCCAGTACTTCTTATTAATCATACAATTACACTTTATCATAAAAATATCAAAATACCATAAAGTAAATGATATTACACAAAATTATTAATGCCCGAACATCAACAATTGCTTTTATACACAAGTTTAAAGTGAATTTAAACTATGCTTCTCCCATAACTGTAAAGTGAACATGAACACATGCCATGCATAATGTATTCAGTAAAAGTGATTCATAATCACTAGACTGTCTGTACAAATTTCAATACAAACACATAATACAATTCTTCTGTTACAGTGGAATTTTGGTCAGTTTATGGAATACTGATTGAAACCTATTGCTTTAAAGTATAATTTAGTTTCTTTAACTTACCACAAATGTCATAATTTTTCTTTTCTTAGGTGGAATGGAGAATATAGAACATGCTTCACTGAACAAATATAAGAATGGTATGGTTGGCTGTATCTCAGACCTGATCTTGGACACAGACTATCATGTGAAACTTGTTCAGATGTCAACAGCAGGCAAGAACATCAAACACTGTGGCTAGAAATAAACGTTGAGGTGAGATATGGTGAAGACACATGCACTCATTGTGCCTAAACTGCATTTCAGAGGATCTTCAATTAACATTTCTCAAAGAATTTAAGAAACAATTCTGGAAAAGAAGTCTTGAGACTTTCATCGTAATTTATATCTAATTTTGTTTCCATTTATGGGTGATGCACCATGCTGCGGTGAGTAAGTTTTCTGATCTTCTCAAGAACCTGGCTGACTTGCCTTGAATGTAAAGGAATCTGATGTGCCTGGTAATGGACCACTGTTTAGTCACTTTGGAACAAAGATGAAGCCTGCCAGGTTCTTTGAAGTATGACCAAACCAACGTACCATAACACAGTGCCGTCACTCAGGAATGTAGATAAGGGTAACTGTAGACAATTTATTGTTGTTTACATGGATGGAAAATGATGTTTGTATCAAAGATACTTTCAGGTTGAATGATCGCAAACCTTTCCATGTGCTATAGAAAGTAAGAAACACTGCCTAATAACATTTCCAATATCCTTACTGATGGACCCAGTAAAAATAACTTCTTTTTGTGTTATGCCCTTGGCTTATTTCATGCAACAGCATACATGTGAAGTAATTTAGGGCATAATAATACAAAGTTCCTCTAATGCAGATGGTTCAAGTACATATTAGTATAAACTAGCTGCAGGCAACAAAATCTTTGCATAATATTTTGCCATGCTGCTATTTGCAGCAATCTGTACCAGCACCTTTTCCTGCAATGTCGGTATCGTTGCTGTTAACTTTAATTCTGTTATTCAGAGTTTCCATATGAGAAAAGAAGACCTTTTTTGAATGAAGTATTTCTTTCAGTAATTTATATACATTTTTATATATCGAATTATACTGCTTTATCCAATGTTGCTTTTCATTACATTGAAAATAACAAAGCCCTATTTTTCTCTTGTTTAGCACATTAGTGTAATTTTGATTTGGCAGTGCTGGGAATATGTTTAAAATTAGTGCTGTTTTTAGAGTCTTAGCTTGCAGTTCTGTAAATGCAACATGTCTTATATATTTGTATTTAAATGAAGTCTGCAGCAGAATCTGTATAGGTAAACATTTCTTGGATGCCTTTCCTATTTAGAAATGTCTGAAAAAAGAAAATTTTGTATCATCATTACTTTAAACTTTTGTTTATAATGCACCATTAGGAATGTCAAGTGCTTAATTTGATTGGGACACATCAACTTCTATCGTACGCTGGCGATCATAAATTATTGGTTCTGTTGCGTGCTAGTAAGGAGTTTTTCTAAAAGTAAACACGGAGAAAACTAAGTAGGTTGCAAGACTGTAAGACAAATTCATAATATAAAATTGATAATAAGGATTTTATCTACTTTTATATTGTTCATAATATAAAAGTAGATGATAAGGATTTTGTCCTGCAGTCTTATAATGAGACATGCAGCCTACTTAGTTTTTTCTGTGTTTACCTTTGGACAAACTCCTTACTAGCATGCAACATGGCAGACTTTAAATATTCATGAAGAAATAAAGAAGAAATTAAGTTCAAGGGTATTTCCCGCAGTGCAGTTCAGAATCTTTTGTCTTCCTGTCTGCTATCTGAAAAAAAGATTAAGCTGCACAAAACTATAACTTTATTTGTTGTTTCACATGGATGTGGAATTGGGTTTCTCACATTAGTGAATAACATATATTAAGGGTGTTTAGGAAAAGGATGCTACAGAGAATATTTGGAACTAAGAGGGATGATGTGACAGGTGGCAGGAGAGAACTGCATAATAAATGGGTCTGATGGCAGGCACTTTTAAACACCTTTGGGTTCCATAAAAGGTGGAGAATTTATGGGCTACCTCAGTGGCATTAGCCTCTCAAGGAGGACTTTTCTCCATGAAGTTATTTTTTAGTTTATTTAGCAATTTCTATAGTGTAGTACATAAACTATGGCAGTAATATTTTGGGCTGAATTCAGATAGGTTTCATTTCTCATAGGTGAACTATGAAAGCAGCCTCTTATATTAAAACATGAATAAATATCAAACTAGAATATAAAGTAGGTTATAAGTGACAATTCCTTCATATTAAACCAAACACAAACTGAACAAACTTTATATGAATGTATTTTCTGTGATATCTGTGAGTTTTTTGTTCATTGCCTGAGACAAAAATATGGAATCCTCATCATATTTTAATAATATTACATTCTCCAGTGGTTAATTTACTTTCTTTTTTCTAATCTGGTGGAAAAAACAATGTTAAAATTAAAGGAAGCCAATTGTGAGTTCTGTCAGACACAATAATCTGATGTGAAACTTTGGCTTTTGTAATGAGCTTTGTTAAATGCTCAGATTTATCCAACGTTTCGGCAGACATTGCAGTTGCCATCTTTAGGGCAAATGACAAGAACAATAACCTGATCTTAAATTTGCTATAAAAAATCTTTACTTCCATGTAAACAACTCTAAATTTAATAAAATTGTATTGCATTATAAATTGAGAATGTAAAGACTACTTTTGGGAATGTTCTACAAATAACATTTGTTCCATACAAAAACAGATGTATGCTTTGTGAACAAATTCATGATATTATAGAAGTTTGGAAACCCAATACCTCAGTGAAAAACTTCAAATTGTGGACCAATTTGATAAGAATAGCATCAGCATCATGATAAACTTCAGGTTCTAAGAAATTTTTAAAATGTGTAGAAACACGGATTCAACTTGTCAATATTTGTGTGGAATAGCGATAGTGACTGTTTTCTAGAGAAATTCAGTTTAGGCATTTTGAAACTGCCATGTCTGCAGGGACTTAATCAATAAAAAAAAATCTAAGTCCATCTCACCAGTCTTTGAGCAAATCTACATTAAATTTTATATGGTTAAATCCATATCTGCCAATATCTGCAGACACAAGCATGGCAATATAGACTTTTATTATGATGAGAGGGAGAGAGAGAGTAGTGATGTACAGATGTAAGAACAATATTCTTCTAAGCCTGATTGAACTATTCTATAATTTAAAAAAGAAATATTGAACTTTTATAAATAGATTCATCATTGTGAATCAGATACTTTATGTCCAGTGAATGAAAGATATGAGTGAATCTAATGGCATGGGGTACTTTTGTGTGTGCATCAATAGGTATAAAAATGACAACCATGTGTGTCTTTCTAGTGCACTGTACAAAGCTAGAAAATTGAAATGTGGGAACTATGTAAACTACAGTGGGATTACATTCAACTTTTCCAAGTGCTTTATAGAAGATATTCTCTTCTAACTTAGCGGCCTCATATATAAGTAATCTAATAAAATATTGGCCCAATGGTAAAGGCAGTTTACAAAAACATTGGAAGACCATACCCAGCCTCTTTGACAACCTGCTCCCAGATGACATCCAGATTCTCCAAAGGGAAGACAAGAAAAAGGAATGTGAAGACATCGTGTCATCAACTCAAAATAACATTTCTTATTTCCAGTAATTACATAAGGACATTTATACTGAAGATGAAGAGGAGTCAAACTAAGTAAGACACATAGTAGGTTATTAGAATATGTTGTGAGTGTTATATCAGACATTGAAATAGTACATCACTAATTTCTTACAAATGAGGTAAGTGTACTAAATGTGAACATAGTGCTCTTTATGTCAATATGAAATTCAGTACCCACAAATTTAAAGTGATTTGCACCTGACTGTATGTTCCAAAATCATTCTTCATTTTGCTATGCTATAAACCTCTGTTATAGTGCATTATGTCATTTTACAAAATGGTACTCACGCTGTTTTACTATTGAGTGTTTTATTGCACGGTACTTAGTAATTTCATAGGGAAGTAAGTTATTGTTTCACCCTTTCATCACAAATTTTTATCCAACAGCAAACTGAACACTTCTTACACAACATAAGGTTCTGCTGTTGACTCATACAAACACAATGCTGCCACAGTAATGATCCATAAAGCTTAAAAACATATCATTTTGTGAAATGTGATCCTGTAGTCTATTAGTTTTGTATGTTATTTCTGTACAATGTTATAAAAATGTCATTTGATGTTTTCTTGTGGAAAAGGTATAAAGAAGACATGATCATTCATGAACCACAATTCATATTCAATCATGCAACCTAACTCTTGCAGGATTACTTTAGGGAGTAGACCTGTTATGGCAGCCATGTTGTGTGGTAACTAGAACAAGCTGTAAGTGTGAAACTGTGTCCTTACATTTGTGTATACGTTGGAAAACATAATGCTTCATGTTTATATACAGTAATCTTCAAAGGAGCAGCACCTCTGACCACATGAGGTATAGTGTTGAATAATTAGGGGCCGCTGAAGATTTGTTACAAACTTTCAGCTTTATTAAACGTATACATGGAGCTTTAAAGAGTGATTACTGTGTTGAGCCACTCAGGATTTCACATATTTATTAAACATGTTCACCAGTTTATAGAAACATAATTAATTAGTGATCAAAATAAAAAAGGAAAATTGCTGAATTTAATATAAAACATACTTTGTGCATAAACACCACTGACACTGTTGCTGTGACATTATCAGATGTTCTCATATCTCATATAAAGCAACTTCTGACTTTTACAGGCAAAGTTGTGAAACTTAAAGCAGGAAATAAATGCTCTTTTTTTTTGCATCTATCCTGTCTTCCTTAATCCCTGGGTTTACAACCTCTGCAATCCAGCACAGATATGATTTTGCAAGAAATAGCTATTATAAGATAAATATTAATTCTTCCTACATTATATGTTCCTTTGCTCTTTTTGTCTGTAATTATATAAATATGCAAAACATTTTCTTTCCTGTGTACTACCGCTTGTCACACACACTCTCATATTCCATTTCTATTATGATTTACATCTGAATCATCTTCAACAGCTATAAACAATTTTTGTGTAGAGTCTGTACAGTGGACTTTTCTCTGCTATGAAAATTCAACCCTTCAGATTTTAGTGACACAAGATGCATTAACCTTTCAACACAGCATTGTTACTGAATTACTGGGTAATAATTTATTATTTAATAGTGTATCTTTATACCTTCAATATCATTCTGTGTAAAGCAATATTACAAGTTCATAACCAGTACAGAACATTTAGGTTATGTGACAGCAGCAAGACATTCTGCACAAATGTCCAAACAAATTGTTTCAGCTTCGTGCCAATTTAACTTCCTATCATTTAGAGAATGTTGTCTGCTGCTGAAAATGGTGATTAAAACAGTGGCAATAAATAAGTTGTGATTGTGAATAGATTTCTCCTCTACAAATATATTTTTATTAATAGGGATGTGGTGTATTATTACTTCTTGTATATAGGTCAAATTTAAATTTTAAATGTTAAATTCTATTGGATCAGAAATTGACAAGTAATCATTCTTATGTCATGTCCTTACAAGTTTCACCACAGTGATCAGACAGTAATCATTATGTCTGATATGTCATACATTTCAGAACAGTTGCTGAAGAGAAGAAGAGATTTTGGTTACTGAGAGTTGTAAAATATTTGAGCTGCTGAGTTTGTGATTGTGTGTAAATTTTACAAACATTAGTTTTATGGTTCAGATCATAGATATATTCGAATTTATGTGATAGTTGTTTCTAAAATGTTATATAACAAAAGAACTGCATAATACATTTTTTCTATATACTTAACCTTCATCTTATGGGAGTAGGGGATTTAAATTCCTGTACTACAAGGATTCTGGCCAGATTTTAATAGTAACAAAACGCTATCATGTAACATGGCCAACTGGATTGTGCGTAAGATATGACACATGGCCAATAAGGGAAGGACCCACCATTGTTTTACTTTCCCATGCACATTCTACGGATCAAGTTTTAGCAACAATTCAACTGAATATCTAATAATATGGTGTGGTGTAGTATAGTAAAGTGTTACAGGCAAAGAGTTTGTAAAAAGCTTTATGATATTGGCCATACTATTATGAGACCTTTCAAAGTTTTCACTTGAAAGTCGATCCCTCTCAGCAAGGAACCAGCATCTCTGACACACTACATTGGTTGGTGACAGTGTCACCCAACCTAAGGATTCTGGAAGACAACTGTTCCACAGGCAGACTGTAGCTGGCAAGCACCAGAAGGAAGCTTAAAACTACGAAGAAACGAAGTAGTACCGGAACTTATGGCAACTGGCTACATGGCATTACCTAAACTTAGGAAGGCTTTCACCAGGGTGCCTAGAAGGCCCAGGTCTGAGGGCAGTATCCTAGTTAAGAGGTTAATCCTCTTCAAAGACCCAGGGACTCCATGAGGCCTTGACTATGACCAGCAGATTTACAATCTTGCCACTTATGCAGACATTTTGTGGAACTAGGCAGTTCTCATCAAATTCTGTTGAGTGAGATACTGTGTGTTGCGTAGGCACAGAACTAGTGGGGAATCAGAAGAATGGGGAAGGCACAAAAGAACAGTTAATGGTTGAAGTGCAAGGGTTGCATACATATGTAAGAAAACCCATCATCCAATAGACAAATGTGTCTTGTGTCTGTGAACTCACAGTTATGTCACATGACCATAGTGGTGAATGACAATGCTGCTCACTTCACCACATTCCCTATTAGTCTGCAGCGCAACAGTGACATTATATAAAAGTGATAAGTGTCCAGTGGTGAGTGACTAAAATCTGTGTGTGTTATGCATCATGTGGTTCTCTTCCAGTATAATTAGTGATGCATTTATGCATGTGGATGTATTTCCTTGGTCTAGAGTAATGACATTAAGTGGAGGAGATGAAGGTAGTAGGGTCATCAACAGAGGATTACTCTGTTTGCTGGTCAACTGTAATTTCTGGTCTTCAAGATGCTGAACTTTCTGTTTGTGATTTAGCAGTATCCTCTTTCTTTCTGTACCTTTCTTTTAAAGAAATGAATTAACAAATATGATCTTGACAGCTTGCTGAGATATTGCAACATGCAGTCTCAAAGAAGTTGACTGATATTTCCATCGTAAAGGTGATTACCCTGATGATGGAGGCAGTACACACCTCTGAAATAGCTGTCATCTCCATTCTTGCTGTCATGAGAACCTGAAGTCTCACTTAATGAGCAAATAGCACAAATGTGGCGTTGCGATAAACAAAGGATATTCATAAAAATGAAAACTGTGTACAAACAAAAGATGCACATATCAAAAACCCATAAATCAAAGTATTTACACTTGCAGAACTAGCGACTAGGTGCCCAATACACCGGCCATTTTATTTAATTTTATAATATTAAGAATGTTTTCTGAATTATTTATTCTGGAATTCAAATTCAATGTCACATATGTTAATACAAGTGAAAATTGTGGAGTATAATTTTAATGACTTTATATCACTGCAGTTACGCCATACTGTTCCCAATCCAAACTAGGAAATATTGTGCATTTTATACATTATACATTTTATGACGACACTTGACATATCTTTATGGTTAGACCAATTGTTGTAGTTATAACCTCTACAAAACTCCTGTTAGGATATTTTCTGTTTTATGGTGCTTGCATCTTTTTGATCCTACTCTCAATTTTATAACACATATTTTTTTCAGTTACCAGTTTTCAGGCTTAACACAGTTATGTTTACATCTATCGGAACCTAACAAATTACAACGAATAGAACCACCCTGCAAGAAGCCTGACATAGTCTGACACTAAAATGGAAAGTGTTTCTAGGTGTTTCATTTTCGTAATAGCACATGAACAGTTGACTTCTGTAGAAATATTTTAAAACTGTTCTTTATTTCAATGGCTTACCCCTTTATCCTCGGAATGTCCGCTTGATGCTCAGCCTGTCCATATA